TTATACCCTAATCAATTAGGACAGCAGAATTACGAATGAACTCTATGATCTGGATCTTTGAAAAAACAAATAATATCAATTGGGACAAAGACAAATTTTATACTGCTAGGGTATAACCCACCAAAATTGTGTAGTATGCATGTACTTTGCACTCTTACCAAAATAGCTTTGATACATAAAGTAAGAATTGCTAGAACTACAAGAAGTCTTAATTCTCATGGTAAGCCTCTCAGAAATCAATGGGTTATATAGACATAAAATATTTGAAGTGTTGAACGGATTTGAATAATACAGTCAACAAACCTGGTTCAATCAGTTATGGCTAGAACTCTGCTTCAAACCACACAATGTTTTCATTTCAAACACACATGAAACATTCACTAAAACTGAGCAGATACTAGGCCTAAATAAAACATCAATAACTTGAAAAACATAAAAATAATTAAATTCACACTGTGATATAATTTTTAATGGGGGAAAAAGGAAGTCCCCATCCTCCCCAAATAACACCCATCTATGGAACTCTTGGGTTAAATAAGAAATACACATGAAATTAGAAACAATACAGAAATGAATGATAATGAGGTCAGTACATATCAACCCGTGTGCCATATGGACAAAGGAAGACCCAGAGGAAATTTTATACAATTAAGTGAAAATATTGGAAGCCAAAGAAGTCTGTAATAACTGATTCAGTATACAACTCAAGTAGGTTAGAATTACTAAAACTAAAAGAGTTTTAGTGAAATGAACAAAAAATATTTGATTACAAAACCAAAAGTTAGTTTGTACCATTTAGGCGTCTCCAAAGAAGAGAACCTTCTACTCATATAGGCTTAAAATTTGTCCCCTCCCTTCAGTGGTGGCGGCTTCCTCCTGAGTTGGTCCCCTTGTTGAGAAATGGATGCCAACTGCACGGGGTGATGTACGAAAGTGTTGCATCACTGTATTGTACACCTGAAACTAATCTCACACTGTATGAGCACTAAGTAGAATTTATACAACAACGTTTAAAAAATGGTTGCTGACAGCCCACATTCTTCTGCTTTCTCACCCACATTCAGAGAAGAAGTGTGCATGTCTTTCCTCTAACCATACCTTCTGCTGGCTGGTAACCCAACTGGAGCCAGCTGGCCAGGGGACTGGACTAGGCTAATTTGATCAGACTCCTGGGAGCTGGGAGGGTGACAGCTTCACCCTGAAGAACATGAACAGCATGGCAGAGTGGGAGGGCTGCAGACCAGGACCCGGGGTAATATGCGGGAAGGATGGAAACCATAAAGCCAACCAATAAGGTACACCAGATGGATTTTTTTTTAAGATTCACTTATTTATTTGAGAGAGAGAGAGAGTGGCAGGGGGAGAAAGAACCTCAAGCAGACTCCCCACTGAGTGCAGACCCAACACTGGGCTTGATCCCACCACCCTGAGATCATGACCTGAGCTGAAATCACAAGTCAGACACTTAATCGACTGAGCCACCCAGGCGCCCTTACCAGATGGGTTGGGTTTTTTTTGAAACACCTATGAAATAGACAAAAATTTGGCAATTTTAGTCTTTAATAATTAAGAAAGGGGAATGAGTACGTATATAAATAATATTAGAAATGGGAAAGAGGCCGTGGGTTCAAATTTTATACATCAGGTTGAAATGTAAGAATGTAAGCTAACGTGAGTGATTTTATATACCAAATTAATGCAAAAACAGTGAGGAACCCACTAGGCCATTAACTATACAAGATTTTTAAAAAATAATCAAAGATTTATCCCTTACAAAAAACTATCAGGCCCAGTGAGTTTTCCCAACATTTTTTTAAATTTTATTAACATATAATGTATTGGGCGCCTGGGTGGCTCAGTGGTTAAAGCCTCTGCCTTCGGCTCGGGTCATGATCTCAGGGTCCTGGGATCGAGTCCCGCGTCGGGTTCTCTGCTCGGCAAGGAGCCTGCCTCCTCCTCCTCTCTCTCTCTGCCTGCCTCTTTGCCTACTTGTGATCTGTCTGTCAAATAAATTAAAAAAAAAAAAAAAAACATATAATGTATTATTTGTTTCAGGGGTACAGGTCTGTGATTCATCAGTCTTACGCAATTCACAGCACCACCATAGCACACACCCTCCCCAATGCCCATAACCCAGCCATCCCCTCCCCTCCCATCCCCCTCCCCTCCAGGGCCCAGTGAGTTTCCTGTGCACAATCTACAAAATCTCAGGAACTGATAATGTTGGCCTTATATAAACTGCTCTAGGGCATAGGAAAAATACTACAACGCTTCTCAACCTGTTTGAAGAGGCTAGCACAGCAATCACACCAAACTTGAACAATGGTGGAACAGAGAGGAAAAGTGGAGGCCCGCCATGTTTGGGGCAGAAATTCTAAACAAAATGCCAGCAAATGGAATCCACAATGTATTAAGGGATTTATCTAAGAAATCCACTGAGATCTAGCAATGAATTTCATTATGTGAACAAATTAAATAAGAAAAACCATATAATCATCTTAATAGTTCATTACTGCATCACCAGGGCCCAAATCTGCCTCGCACAGCAAAGGTTCCCAGTGAGCGTCTGAGAAGCACATGAAGGATGAGGTCAGGGTCAGCACATGAACCCCCACCATTATGGCCACTATTTCACACTTGTGTTAGAGGTCACAGGCAATGAGAAAACAAAAATAAATGGTAGGATTTTCAAAAAGGACAAGATGTAACTCTCACCATTTTAGGGAATTTGACTAGCCAAAAATAAGCCAAAAGAATCCACTGAGAAACTGATGAATTAAATAAGTCAGTTTTGCAAGATGAACAGGAATCAAGATCACTATGGGGTTTTTTTGTTGTTTTGTTTTGTGTTTTTTTTTAAGATTTTTTTCTTTATTTGGCAGAGAGAGAGAGATCACAAGTAGGCAAAAAGGCAGGCAGAAAGAGAGGGGGAAGCAAGCTCCCTGCCAAGCAGAGAGCCTGACTCGGGGCTCGATCCCAGGACCCTGAGATGATGACGTGAGCCAAAGGCAGAGGCTTAACCCACTGAGTCACCCAGGTGCCCCATGATCACTGTTTTTTTAAATCAGCAGCTTTAAAATACCTAACATATAAAATTAGAAAAAAATATAATGGGAGGAGATAATCATCCACAATGAATATAATCAAAATTTGTAAAATACTTAGAAATACATTCAGTATTTTTCCAGACATCCATGAATAGAAGAGCCGAATGAATGGAGACATATACCATACCCCTGTTAGGAATTCAACACTGTAAAAATTAATCTGCATATCTAATTTCAATTCAAATACCAATAGTATCTTTAATGAAAATTGACAACTGACTGTAAAGTTTCCATGGAAGATAAACTCTGTAAATTAGGCAATATTTTTTTTAAAGGAGAGCTTTCGCTACCACTTAACAAAATATGACATAAAGCTATTTGAAACAATACAGCACTAACCCAGGGACAAACAGATCAGTGGGAAAACAACAGAGGTTTCAAAAACATACACATGGATATATTAAGATTTCCTTAATATAAATGCAGATATTCAAATCAGCAGGAAAAAGACAGGTGCTACAAGAAATAGTATCAGTGGAATTGGCTCTCCAGTTGGAAATAAGAGTTGGATCCCCACCTCACACCACACAGAGTTACACATAATAAATTTATCAAGATGAAAAGAAATATGGGAAGACAGTTTTTATAACCTGGATATGGAGAAGAGCACATTTTACTAGGCACAAAACCCATAAGGAAAGTAAAGATTGACTGATTTGATTCCATAATAATTTTATTTTTTTTTTAAGTTTTATTTATTTGAGAAAGTGTGCCATGCACAAGCAGGGGAAGGTGCAGAGGGAGAGGGAGAAGCAGGTTTCCCCCTCAGGAGGAAGCCCCATGCGGGGCTCAATCCCAGGACCCCGGGATCATGACCTGACCCAAAGGCAGACACTGAGCCACCCAGATGCCCCTTGACTCCATGATAATTTTAAAGGTCTTTATGGAAAACTTCCATCATTCCATCCATTCCACATATTTCTAAAAGATAAGGGAATAGTTGTAAAATAATTGACAAAGGCTTAGTACTCAGGAAAGAAAAAAACTTTCGTTAAGAAAAAGAAAAGCAACCCAATCTTAAAAACAGGCAAAGCCTATGAATAGAGGATTCACTCGAGAAAAGGTGTATCTTTTCATCGATAAACACATGAAAAGGCACACTTCCAATCAGGAAAATACAGATGCATACAGCAATGATAGAACGTTCTAGCATTGGATGGGCATATTTTTAAAGACTGATAATATCCATCTTTAGCAAAAGGGGAAATGTTTCACTCTCCCATGCTGTAGGTATGACTGTAAACTGGCTCAGCTTTGGGGAGGAAGACTCTTTGAGTGTAGTCATCCAAAAGTACTAAAATTTGTGTGTCCTTTGATGACTGTCCTGCCCTCAGCCCACTCCTAGGGAGACAGCTGCAGAAATGGTTCAGAGTGTCCTCCCCCCACCCCACCACCCACATGCAGGACTGCCGCCAGGGGCGCAAGTCCGAAGCGGCCCAAAACCTGGTGCTGGTTACAAAACCCATGTCACAGCTGCCCAGAACATACACAATGACATCACATGATGACTAACTTTAGGTATTGATGGAGAAAGTTTGCCAACGTGTGTGATTTTTTTTTTTTAAATGTAGACTACTAACAATACATATAAGATCCCAGGGTCACCCACAAAAGAGAACAGAGCCAGCTCACCCTTGCACAAATTTAATCCCTACTCTCCTGGTCCCCCGTTCCAGAGCCCTTCGAGGCCACACTTTCCTTCTCCTGGAGTCACACAGGGCGTAGTCATCCTCTGCGTCTCTCCCCACTGGGATGCCGAGGCAGAGCCCCATCCCCAGGGGCCCCTCTTTCCCCACCTTGACTCTTGTTGAATAGAGACACATGACCTCGGTCTAACCTTGATCCGGACCCATAGGGCAGAGGCGATGCGGGAAAAAGAAGAGAGAGGGGAGGCTACGGACCCATCGGAGGCTGCAGCAGCAAGAGCAGGGGCAGGAGCCAGGCGGAGGCTGGGGGGCCTGAGAGAGCCTCACTGCCTATTTGCTTCCTGATCCATTTGCTGTATTTGGTGACGCGGGTGTACACGCCTGGGTTCTCCGCTTTGGCACAGGCCTTTTCCCAGGACAACACCCCAGCCAGAATCCATCTGCCCTCGACTTCGCAAGCCAGTGGGCCACCAGAATCCCCCTAGGTAAAGAGGGAGGAATAATGGAAGCTCTGGGAGCCAGGACCCTGGAGGACCCAGAATGCCCACCCCTCTGACTCCTCTTGGAAGATTCTTTCGCTCCCTGAGGATCTCACTACCTCCTTCAGCTCCCCCTTTGACTCCTCAGACCCATCCCAGAATATCAGGCAAATTCAAAGTCACAGGGGAAGGAATTGGGGAGCAGAGCGCTGCCTGGTGATGGTCGCAAAGCAAAGCCCTCCCTGGGAACGTCCCCCACCCCCACCCCGGGAGTCGCTCTGGATAGAAGAGCTGCGGGGACCTCCCAGCCACTCACAGAGCACAAGTTCTCTCCGTAATTGGTGGCACAGATCATGTCCCCCAGGACAAGGGGGACAAGGTGGGGGAGGAAGGACTTCTTGCGGTAAATCTGGTCACACTTCTTGTTGTCCATGATGAACACCTCAGCCTCCTGCAGCTCCGTGGTCAGTGTAGAGTTAGCTGTAGGGGAGCCCAGCGGGGTGAGAAAGTTCTCCTCACTCCACTCAGCCCTGGCCTCCTCCCAGGGTCCTGTCGCCTCCATTTTTGAGACTCAGCCAAGCCACACCCCTTCATGCCCTCATGCTCTCCTTCACCAGTATGTCTCCCTGCGGGGGAGTGGGGGGACCACGTCTGGCAAGCCCCTCACCCTCTCAGGCTCTCTTTCAGGATCCCTTTCTCTGGGAAGCTTTGGCTTCCAAACGAAGCAGGCCATAATCCAAGTTTCAATGCAACCACTGACGAACTGAGACCCCAGCCACGTCTGGCTTCTCTCTCCAACCTCTGAGTCTGGCACAGGTTGTGACCTCTGTCACCTGGTTACCCTCGCTCCCCCTTCAGGAATCTCAGATAGATGTGCCCCTGGCCAGACTCATCCCAGATTCCTCCCAGCTCGATCTCAAGATCACCTGACCAAGTCTTAGCCCCCTTTCCCCACCGGCCTGGGTCCCCGGCCACACTCAGTGACGAGCACCCTGCAGGTAAGGCACGTGTTCCCCACGCGAAGGGTTTGGTGGGACGCCCGTCAAATGAATGAGTGAGAGGACAAGTAAGTATAGGATTCCCAGACTCTGAGCTGCTGTAAGAGGCCAAAAGATCATGCCCAGCCCCGGCGCCACTAGACAGGAGTGAGGTGCCCACGGCAAGCATGATGGCCTTGGACGTGGAGACCTGGAGACGTGTTAGGACAAGGAGAGTCCTAAAACATGTCGAAAGAGCCAGGGCCCGGAGGTGACAGCCACAAGCTTCCTAAGAGGCACCGTGAAGGGGTCCGGCAGGCAAGACCCCAGCAGGAAGGCGGTGCCCCCCTCTGTGGTTCCGCACCCCCCACCCTGACCCACTGTGCTCACCTGAGAAGCGCTGTTTGACCTGGCCCCAGCCAGTCACCCAGCACTGGGTCCCCACCTTCAGGTTGTAGCTGGGCTCCGGGAGGCAGATGGGCTGCACGTACTTGCTGAAGGTGGCGGGGCTGTGAAGCTGGAGAAGGGCCATATCCCCCATGATGAAGGTCCGGCCCCAGAACTTGGGGTGCAGGATGATGTCCTTCACGGGGATCAAGGAAGCCTGCAGGGGCTTCAGCTTGGAGGTGCCAAGGATCACTGAGTACTCTTTGGTGCTACAGAAGACATACTGCCCTGGCTAGCCAGTCAGGTTCGCAAACAACACGACGCTCCTACCTCCACCAAGAACCCCCTCCCTTAGCAGAAGCCCCCCCTGATTTGCTCCAGGCCGTGGACACAGGGGCCACACTCACCCTTGGATGCAGTGAGCAGCAGTGACCACCCAGTTGAGTTCAATGAGGGCCCCTCCACATACGTGTTCACTCTCTAGCCGGAGGCTCACCTCCCAGGGCCAGTGGCGGGTCACGTCCAAATCCTTGGACCACCAGGGTCTGCCGCAAACTTCAGGAACGATGTGCCAGGGAGACACAGGGACCACATATTGGAGGATGAGAACAACGGAGACTAAGATGCCCCTCCCCCACCCCGGGACAATGTGCACAAAGCTGTAAACTCGGGGGCTTGTCCTCATTTCAAAGATGGGGAGGTAGGGTGAGAGAAGGACAGAGGCACTGTGCGAGACAGAAATGACAGTGACAGAGATACAAGGCTGTAAGACAGAGACATAAAGACATCACAGGTGAGAGAGAGAGATACCGAGACAACAGGGGATTCGAAGGGAACCCCAAAACAAGGGAAAAGCATAGAAGGAGTCCTGGCACAAGCCCTGCATTCTCTTGTGTCTAGCCTGAAACCCGAGGTCATGTTCCTGAAGGGCCACTGCTCGGAGCTGAGAAAAGTTCCAGGCTTCTGTGTCGGAAATCTTTACACAGGCCATTCAAGAAAGAGCCCCACCAGCGTGGAGCCCACGGAGGGTCCCCGCTCACAGCTTACAGTTTTTGTCTGCACCACGTTCCAACACAGGCAAGTGGTACGGCGGTATGAATGAGCACAGATGCTAAAGTTTCTAAATAGAGCATTACTCAACATTATATTTTGAAAAAATAACGCACCACGATCGTGTAGAGATTGTCTCAGGAGCGCAAGGGAGGTCCCGCACTAGAAAAGCCCTCCCTGAATTTGCCACATAAACAGTTCTTTTTCTCTAAAGAGAAGGATCATGTGCTCTTCTCAAAAAACACAGAAGACATTTGAAAAATTCGACATATATTTATGATTAAAAGCAAATCAGAAACAAAAATACCTCTTACTTTGGGAACAGAAAAGAAATCCTTAACTTTATGAAAGTTAGAGACCACAAACCTACAGCAAGCACCACTAACATTAAAGAAGAGGCAAAAAGATTCTATATGGTCAGAAGCCAAGAATAATGGTACTTTGCAGGAGGAGGGCTGGGGAAGTAATCAAGAGAGCATAAGGGAGCTATCGGGGGCTGGGAGAGTTCTACTTTCTCACCAAGACAGTGACTAACACAGGTGGGTTCACTGTGTGATCATTTCTTAGGCCGGACACTTCAAATCTGTGTACTGTTGTGCATGTATGTAAGACTTCAACAGCTTACCTTTTTTTTTTTTAAGTTTTATTTGTCAAACAGAGATCACAAGTTTGCAGAGAGGCAGGCAGAGAGAGAGGAGGAAGCAGGCTCCCCACTGAGCAGAGAGCCCAATGTGGGGCTCAATCTCAGGACCCTGGGATCATGATCTGAGCCCAAAGCAGACGCTTTAACTCACTGAGCCACCCAGGCGCCAACCCCAATGGCTTACTTTTTAAATCAGTTATGCTTCTTGACTCCAGCACAAAATAAGATATATTTTCAACAACAAAAATATCTTAAGTAACAAGAAATTAACATTAGGCCAGTTTATCATGGTGATACATTTAAAACTCTTAATAAAGAAAAATAAATAAATAAAACTCAATAAAGTACACGGAAAAGGAACAGCATAAATGGAGAGATGTCCCTTGCTTTTAAATAAACAACTAACCATTTCAGATGTACTTTTTCCCAAAACTAAACTATAAAGTCATTTTCCAAGTGAGAATTTTAGGGAGCTTTATAAACTTACTCTAGAATTCAAGTAGAAAAACAAAAGTCCACGAATAGCTCAGTCTCCAAAAAAGGAGAACATAAAGGAACGCTTGTCCTAGCAGGTTATCAAGACACACATCAAAGCCGTCACAACAAAAACGGTGTGGTATTGACAAGGACAAACCAATGAAGCCATGGAAAAGAACAGAGAGCCTGAGACTGTTCTGGGGACCCAGGATCTTAAGGTAGATAAAGGAGTCACCACCATCAGTGGGTGAAGGATGGATGCTGAGTAGATGGTGCTGGGGAAACTGACTCACAACAAAAGAATTAAGAAAAACAAAACCAGATTCCTCCCTAGCAGCACTTGGGAGACCTAAATAGGAAAGTGAAAGTCTAAAGCTAACAGTAGACCATATAGCACGGGGTGAGAAAGGGCTCCCTAAACAAAATCTCAAAACAAACCATAAAACATTAAATGGATTAATTTTATTACATCAAAACCAAGGTCTTGGGTTTTTTTTTTTTTAAAGATTTTATTTATTGATTTGACAGACAGAGATCACAAGTAGGCAGAGAGGCAGGCAGAGAGGGGGAAAGAAAGCAGGCTCCCTGCTGAGCAGAGAGCCCGACGAGGGACTCAATCCCAGGACCCTGGGATCATGACCTGAGCTGAAGGCAGAGGCTTTAACCCACTGAGCCACCCAGGCACCCCTTGGTTTTTGTTTTTACCCTAGGAATAAAGTTAACTGGCAGATGACAGATTGGGTGGCAATATTTATGATACTGAAAATCAATACAAGACTTTTACTAGGAATATACAAGCAACTCTAGGAAATCAATAAGAAAAAAAAAAAGAACAGATAATATGTGAAGGAGGACAAGCAATTTATTAGAAGAAATCCAAGAGGTCAAAAGCGTATTGAGACATGCTGAAACTCATTAGTAATGAGAAAAATGTCAATTAAATCAAGAATCCATTTTTTATCAGATTTTTTTAAAAAATTGGTAAAAAGATATAAAAGCTGCATCGTACCATGGTTGGTACGTCTGTAACAACATTATACCTTTACAGATGGCTGGTAGGAATACAGAGAGCTGGCCACATTAGATTATGGACAGAAGATAAAAGCACTGTATCAATGTACATTTTTTTTTAAAGATTTTAATTATTGATTTGACAGACAGAGATCACAAGTAGGCAGAGAGGCAGGCAGAGAGAGAGGAGAAGCAGGCTCCCTGCTGAGCAGGGAGCCCGCTGCGGGGCTTGATCCCAGGACCCTGAGCCGAAGGCAGAGGTTTAACCCACTGAGCCACCCAGGCGCCCCTCAATGTACATTTTTGAAGTTGAGAAGTGGCTGATATGTGATAAGTGAAGTTAATCAGTTGATATTGTGGTTATCTAAGGGAATAGTCTTAGAAAAAAACATGCCTAGGTATTTAGAGGTCAGAAGTCAGGCTGTAAGTTACCCTCAATTGACTCTGGGAAAATTTATGTATGTGTTTCTTGACCTATCTGTATTTTTGCAGTGTTTGGTAAGTTTAAAATTATTTCCAAATAGAAAAAAATTTTAATGGAACTGGTGAAAAAAGAAGGAAACAGAAAGAGATCTACGGTAGACACCATTTATGTAAGTTAAAAATACGTGCACACAAAACCACAATATGTATTTTGACAAGAACACACATAAGCAGAGACACACACTGAACATATAAGAAAGGTTGAAAGGAGGGAGAGGAGGGGCACGGACATAAGGAGGAATAACTAATTTAATCAGTCGAACAATTCATAACCAATTAGGGAGGACCTATGACAACGGAAGTCCATGAACCAGTGAGCAACCTAACCCACCATCCCTGACGTCTAAGGGAAAAGACTTCTTAGAAAGCAGGCCCTTCAGACTAAATTCCTGCTTCCTACAGACCCAGAAACACTACCTCTCTGACCCTCTTCAGAACACATCCTCCCAGGAGCTGAGGTTTTTCTGAAGCAGTGGCTCAGCCTACCCACCTGGTTTGGATGTGTTTTCTTTATAACCTGAAGGAGAAAGGGGGAACAAAGATGAAGCAAGAGATCATGAATTAGTTCATTCATTCATTCTCCAAATATTTCCTAACTTCCCACTCCATTCCCAGCCAAGACGCGGGGGGGGGGGGGGGGGGGGGGGGGGAGAAGACACACAGAGCGTATCAAACAGATAACACGCTGTCCAGCAGGGGAGATGGGAGTCAACAAAACCACCTGTGTGAAATCAATGCAAGGACAAAGCCACAGGTTTCAGGGGAGCCCAGAAGAAGTGGGGGACAAGGAGGCTCCTGAGAAGCAGGGTTTTGGGGTCAGGACTTAAAAATGAGAAGACGGTAAAAACAGAAAAGTGACAATGACATTCCTTGCAAAAGATACACCGTGATGCATGCCATGAGAATGAAGGACAAGGCCAAGGATGGCCAGAAATGATGCCACGGGAGAAGAGTTGGGGTCAACCACGAGGGGCCTCATAACCCAGGCAGAGAAGCAAAGAGACCCTCCGGGAGGAGGGAGGCCCGTAGAAGGGTGACATGTTCAGGCTTGGATTGTGACAAGGAAGTAGGAAGTTGAGGGGGACTGTAGGTGCTGAGATCCCTCTTCAGGACCCAGGCAAGAAAGGAGGTGGTCCAAATGAGGAAGTGGCCCTGAGACTAGACAGGGTGAGCTGGATGTGGGATGCAGGCAGATGGCTATGGGGTTCTGGGATGACCCCCAGCTTCTGCTTTTAGAGAGGAGTGCCTACAATCCAGCGCAGTAGAGAACAGGCTAAGAGAACCCAGTTTATAGGCAGCCGAGAGGCTCCACTTTGGACACCGGGAGCAGAGATGTTTCTAGGTCCTGCAGCAGGCAGGTGCACTCGCAGACACGTTGCACAGAGGGACTTGCTGCGCAGAGCGGGGCGGGGGGGGGACGGTGGAGAGAGAACCCAGACAGCGCTGCAGGGATGAACAGAGCACAGTGGCTGGGAAGCAGGTGGGGAGCCGCAGAGCTATCCTAAGACAGAGGAGAAGCGGGAGGCCTGACCTGAGAAGCCAGGGGACTAGAAAAACCGAAAACGGAGGAAGAGGTAGAAAGGTCGCAGCTGCGGCCAGGATGGGCCGACGATTATGGGAGAAGCAAGGAAGCCCTGGAAGGAAGCATGAAGGGGAAACGGCTACTCTGAGAAACCTGGCAGCGAGCGGGAAGGGACGGGGAGAAGCAACCATGGCAAAGAGGAAGAGGATGAAGATGAGCAAGAAGATGGCGGAGGGAGCACAGCGCGGGGAGAGCCCGCGGTCCGGAGCAGCGCGAGCGGGCTGACCTTGAACAGGAGGGGAGTCTCTGATTGCTAAAGAAATGGGGGAGGCTGGTGTCGAGCAGTGGGGTTCAGAGGGGCCCCTGGGGGCTGGAGGCTGTCAAGGGGGAGAGCGTCTTCAGGGTGAAAAAAGCAGCAGTGAGCTAGACGCCAAGGGGAACAGTGCGCTGGGGAGAAGCGGGAAGGTGGGATCCGGGTTTCAGAGAGGGGAGACCGCGTGTGGCCGGCCGCTCCGCGGCGCATGCGCAGTGGCCTGGGGCGGTGGGAGAAGGGGCAGCGGGCGGCCTGAGCCGGCCTGGAAGGGTGCCTCTGGCCTCAGCCACGATGCCCGCCAGCGTGGAGGCCGGAGGAAGTGGCTGCGCATCGGGAGAAGATACAGGGGTCCTCCGCACTGCTGGTGAAGTCTGAGGGGGGACGAGCAGAAGTCTGGCGACAAGGGGTGGGGGGAGGATGGCAGTGGGGGACAGGGGAGCATGGTGGGGGTGGGGGACAGAGTCCCAGGTGGCCAAAGAGCTAGCCACGTGCAGGGATCTGTGCTCAAGTGCGGGGATGGGGGGCAGAGGGGAGGGTGGGAGGAGTACGGGGAAGGTGGCCGACTGGCCGACGGAGGGACACAGGGCGGTGGAGGAGGCGCTGCCTCACCCGAGGTCAGCAGCGGCAGCAGCAGTAGGACGCAGCGGCTCAGGCCCCAGAGCCCCGAGGCTCCAGGCCCAGCGCTGTGGCTGAACGGCAAGGCGGCCATGAGGCCCGGGAGGTGCCACCTAACGGGACAGACACGGTGCCGCGAGCCCCGGCAGGTGATGGCGACCCTGCCGCGCGCAAGGGCACCTCCAGCACGTGATGGAGTTCTGGGCACACGACGGCCCCACTAGCCCGTGATGACGCCCCGGACTCCCCGCCCCCCCGCCCCCCGCACCCATGGGCACATCTTCTGCAACCCCACCCTCACCTCGTGCCTGTTCCCTGAAGATGGCATCGGAGCCCAGGATCCAGGATCGCCTCCAGGGTGGCCAAGCACCCCCCTGTTGCTTTAAGATGGGGACAGTGCCCCCAACCTCTGGACCTCTGAGGGCACCTTTGTCGCCCAGCCTCTGACCACACCCTTGGTCCCCTGGGATTGGTGCGTTGGAAAGGTTCACAAATTTTGTTGATCTGAGAATCTGAAAAGCACAAGAAAGGAACAGTAAGGCTGGGGAATCCAGGAAGATGTCTTTAGGAAAGTGGCATCTGAGCTGGATCTAAAACTAGAATATGGAGTCGTGGGGGAGTCCTGAGAAAGGAAAGGCATTCCTCCTCCTCTACAGACCACCAAGCGGATGGATGCACCTGAAAGAGATGGGGGCGGGGCAGATGACAGGCCTTGGGCCTTCGCAGAGCAACTTTGTAGGACGGGGTCTTTGCATCTGGTGGGTGTGGCAGAATTGGGAGAGGACCACCAAGAAGCAGAAGATTCCCGCTTCTTTTGTCTAGTGGGGAGGGAGGGTGTGTCCAGTTCTGGGGACCACATTCCCCTGCCTGGTATCTAAGGGAGTCCGCATAATGAGTCCCCACCGCAGACAGGTGAGTAGAAGTGATGTGTGCCACTTCCGTGTCAAGGTGGTCGGGAGGAGAATGCCTTCTTTGCTCATGTTCAGGCCGAGCACTGGTGCCCAGAGCGGCAGAACTGTCAGCTTGGAGCTGGTTAGAGATGCAGTTCTCAGGGCCCACCCCAGACCTACAGGACTGAAGACTCTGGCAGGGGACCAGTGATGTGTGTTTTACCAAGCCAGAAAGAGAGACGCTGGAACACAGAGCCAGAGAATGAGGGTAAAGATCCAGTGTCTAAAACAATAAATCTCACTTCCCTTCTCCCATTAGGAGCGCAGATGTCTGTTAACGAAGTGGGGGGCGCCTGGGTGGCTCAGTGCGTTAAGTGTCTGCCTTTGGCTCAGGTCATGATCCCAGGGTCCTGGCATCTGACTCCCTGCTTAGTGGGGAGTCTGCTTCTCCCTCTCCCTCTGCCCCTCCCCTGGCTTGTGTGCACTCTCTCTCTCTCTCAAATAAATAAAAATCTTTAAAAAAGAAAAGAAAAGAAAAAGTGGAAGGGTGGGCAGCAGCAGCAAGTGGAAGAAGCAGGAGAGAAGTGCCCTAAGTTCATTCTTGCTCCCTATTCTGGTCTCTTGTGATCCTCTTTTCAGAGCTGCAGAGGCTGTGAAATTAAGCCACAGAGGTCCAGGCAGACAGGAGTACAGAGACCAGGACCCAGCTAGCTAAAACCCCACAGAGGACTCCCATCTGAGCTGGTGGAGACAGGGCTTAATTACAACCATGAACAGATCGTTTTCTACGTGGGAAACTAGTTCTCTACAGAGTATGTCATAGGCAATGCCAGAACTTTCAGGAGTCCAGAACTTAGAGTGAACAGGAACATGCTCCAAACCATTCAGTTGACATCAAAGAACTCCACACTCCTTAATGCCTCCACATAGCTTGGGCTGAGCCTGGATGGGGCCACTAGGGACTGAGGAAGGGGGGCCCACCGCGGGATTGCCCCAGGCGGGTCTACGTGGCAGGATCTGAGCTGGGTATCTGGGGCCCCAGACACTCCAGTTCCATGTGGAAACCCCAGGCCTCACACCTCAGCAGAGACATGGTAACACCCCCTCCCTCTCTCTCTCTCTGCACAATCAGCAAGCTGACTGCTTCAACACAGGGTCAGGTGACAGCCTGAGACCACACCCAAGTCCCACGCTGTCTCACTGCTCATGAGGGGTGTTCTCTCGCAGAGGCTCTCCAAGATGACAAGGAAGCCCCGCGCTCCCCCTGGCAGGTCGGCCGGCTCTCAGCCTGGGGGATGTCTGACCCCCTCCTTCCAGGTGGGCAGGGCACAGCCAAGGTCGTGTGTGTGGCCTTGGCAGGTGACTGGGGCATCAGACTGGGATGCTTTCGGGGCTCCAGCCTTGCTGCCAGTTCCTACTGTATGGCTCTCTACAGGGTCAGGGGATGCCAACCAGAACTGGAGGAAAGGGCATCTGAGCAGGAGTGGGAGGTCGGAGGAGAAGCCCGGTGTGAGACTCAGAAATAGGAGGGGGGGGTGGGCCAGGGTGATCACGGGGCCACCAGGATGCCCAGGGGCAGCACCAGGCACAGAAGTGGGAGGAAGCCTGCTGAGTCCCAAGAGCAAGCCTGACTCAAGCGATCAATGACCCAGTCCTTGTAGAAACTAACTTCTGTATATATTCCGGGAAAATTTCTGCGACCGCAGCCAATGCCCTAGCTCACAATCCCCACCTGGACCCATGTCTTATTAAGTTCACAGACCAGGGGCCCCCCAGAGTCTCCCTGGAGAAAGAGAAAGAAACAAACACAGGAATGGAAGAGAATCAACATCAGAACTGGCTGGTGGGGAGATGGGCACGCGAGGGCCTTCCCCGGGACTCCCCTCCCCCAGGCATCCACCAGCCCTAAGTTCCTAGGAATATTTGAGAGTTGAAAACTAAGTGAAAACTTTAACAGCCTCTGAGAAATACTCCTCCTTCCCAGGTGCTCACAGATGCACACAGATACATATCCGGGGGCCCCAGGGCAGCAGTAGCACTAATAATGTCTTAAAATCCTCTTTGAATGTCCCTGTTCCTCCATTGCCCCTGACCTGCCCCCCATGGTCCTCTCCAAGCCTCCCATGACCCAGCAACCAAACAGGTACCCCCAGCACAGTCCACAGCCTCCAGAGCCCTCCTCCAGCTCTAAGGCTCATACCTATTCTGATTGGCCAGTCCCAGGCCTCCACAGATGTGAAATATTTTAAATATCAACCCTGCATGGGAGGATCCCATAATCCTCTCCTCCAACCTGAAATTCCCCCTGACCTTAAACCCACATATCCAACCCCACACTGTCCCAGACATCCCACAGACACCCCAATGGATGCAGAACCCGGCATGTCCTTTCCCAGACCTGCTTGGGGGCCACTGCCCCCCACCAACCAGCTCAGACAGAAATATAGAGCCCTCCAAACCTCTCCCTTGCCTCCACCCTCCCAGCAGTCAGGATTCAACCTCAGACACACCTCCTTCACCCCCTCACTGCCCCAGGTCCTGCTCAGGACTCCGCGTCATCACCTAGATGATGGACACAAACACCTAGCCTACAGTCCTGCCCGGATGGCATTGAGAAACTCGGCCCAGCGCCCCAGGCCACGCGTAACCTGACTCCAGCCCTCTTCTCTGGTCCCCTCATTGCTCCAGACCTGGAAGGTGGGCCCTACACGTGACAAGTTCCCTCACACCTCGGAGTCACCGTCTGTGCTACTCCCTCTCCCTACAGTGCTGTTCTCCTCTTTCCAAGAAATCCCAAGACTCATCCTCTGAGTTCAGGCTCAAACGCCTCCTCCTCCAGAAGGCACTTGATGCGGGAAGAAGAGGGCAGGCCAGGTTCTGCCCATGAATCTCCTTTGCGAAGGAGCAAAAGGAGGTGGTGGCAGGTCACCCAGGCCCTGGCACCTGGGAAGGAGGAAGCTTGGGGGGGCCATCCTCACCGCAGAGGCCACAACAGAGCCATGAACTGACCTTGCAGACCCTTTTCCCTTGTTGACAGTCGCAGATCATCCCCTTTCCTCACTAGGTTGTGCCGTGATCGTAACTGTGTGCACACTGTGTTGTTACATTTCTTGTATTGAGGGATGAGTTTCTCGGTCTGCTGAAGATGAATGGACTCCGGAGCTGGAGTGACAAAAGACGAAGTTAGGGTCTGCGTGAGGGGACAGCATAGTAGCCCCCGAAACCCACTCTGTTGACCCCTCAGAGGTAGTCAGGGCAATGGATGCTGTCCCATTGACAGGAGGGACCCGAGGCAGTGGTGGTGAGAAGAGAGGCAGAAGGGAGAAAAGCCATGACAGGAGCAGGAGGGACCCCTCAGGACAGAAAGAGTCCAGGCCTTCCCAACCGGAAGTGAAAAGCAAGTGTCACTCTTGAGTACCAAGAGTAAGTGACAGGTGTCCTGTGCCGGCCAGACTCACAGACTTTCAGACAGGGAGTGCCCCCAAAGATTCCGGTCCCGCCTCTTCCCTGAGATAGGAGGCCCTCCAGCCTCACCAGTAGGGTTGCTCTGAGAAGCTCCCTCCCTACAAAGCAGGGACTTCCATGGAGGGACAGCTCTGGATGTCAGCCAGCTCATTCCGCGGAGCTGAAATCCATGCTGGACAGAACCCACCATCCCTGGCACCCAACCCCCCAGGTGCCAATATTCCAACAATTCTTTTTTTTTTTTTAAGACTTTTTGGCAGGAGGCACCTGGGTAGCTCAGTCATTAAGTGTCTGCCTTCAGCTCAGGTCATGATCCCAGGGTCCTGGGATCGAGCCCCACATCGGGCTTTCTGCTGGGTGGAAGGCCTGCTTCTCTCTCTCCCACTCCTCCTGCTTGTGTTCCTTCTCACTGTGTCTCTCTCTGTCAAATAAATAAATAAAATCTTTTAAGATTCTTTTTTTTATTAGAGAGAGAGCATAAGTGGGGGGAAGGGCAAGGAGAAAAGGAGAAGCAGACTCCCCACTGAGTACGGGGCTCAATTTCAGGACTCCGAGACTATGACCTGAGCCACAGTCAGACGCTGCACGGACTGAGCCACCCAGGCACCCCTCATTAAGCAATTCTTACTGAGGTTCCATTACTCCGGGCCGTCCTCCCCCTCCTCCTCCCTTGCCCGCCTGTTAAAGAATCAGCCTCCCTGTCCCTTGTGGGACAGGCTGCAGGCCATCACCAGCGTAC